CTTGCGATCAATATGCCCTGTAAGTGTCAAATTCTTCAAGCCCTATTTGCTAATTATGTACTCTAGAAATGTCAACTGTTTGCTTCTGATTCAAATTATAAGTAGTATAAGTATCCTTTTTGTTTCCATTTTCCTGCAGATTTCCGCATTGCTCACATGTTCATTCCATGGATTTCTCAGTACCTTTTTGTAGAACCATATTTGTGTTGCCTCAATTCCCTTCTTCATCTGTAATGAGATTGCCCAACATTCATAGAAGGATCGAAATTATCAAGTCTTCCCATAAGTTCTGTCCTAATTTTACCTTTTTTAAAAATGAACGAAATTTAAAGAGTATTTTATAATGTCTAATGGAGCTGAACATTATTTTTATGTTTAGATGCATTTAAACTGATCAAATTTTATTTCAGAGAACAATAAAATTAAATTTTGTTTGATTAAAAACCTGCTAACATTGAAGTACCCAAGAATCATTTTAGGCACATAATGCTTTATGAGTTCAAGAAAGGAAACTCAGCAGCCGAAGCGGCTAGAAACATTCACTCGGTTTATGGAGAGGAGTGTGTGAATGAAAGAACTTGCAGAAGATGGTTTGCAAAATTCAGAGGTGGAGATTTCACCCTGGAAGATGAAGATCGAACCGGACGTCCACTTGAGTTTGATGAAAAGCTTCTTGAAGCAGCCCTTGAAGAAAATCTTGCTTTATCATTTGAGGAATTGGCAGTGGTTCTCAGTTCAAACCATACAACTGTTCATCGTCATCTTCAACAACTTGGAAAAGTTCCTAAACTTGGAAAATGGGCGCCTCATAAATTGTCTGAAAACAAGCTCAAATCCCGAGTTGACATCTGCTCTTCTCTCCATTCTCGCCAACTTGTTTCACCTTTTTTGGATAGACTTGTGACTGGCGACGAAAAATGGATCTTTTATCGAAATGTTAAGCGTCGTAGACAGTGGCTTGGTAAAGGGGAAAGACCCCAGCCACAGCCGAGAAGAGAACTTCATGGGCAAAAGGTTCTTCTTTCAATCTGGTGGGATCGCCAAGGAATAATCCACTTTGAATTCTTACCACCTAATGCAACAATTAATGCTCAAATATACTGTCAGCAATTAGAGCGTTTGAACCAAGCTTTGAGGAAAAAAAGACCTGCTCTAGTGAATCGAAAAGGTATGATGTTTCATCCGGACAATGCGCGACCCCACACAGCAAGAATCACGTCACAAAAGATCGAAGAACTTGGTTGGGAGAAAATTCCTCATCCACCTTATTCTCCCGATCTTGCTTCTTTCAGACTACCATTTGTTTCGTAGCTTACAGAATCATTTGGAAGAAACAGCTTTTTGTAACACAGGAAGAGGTTAAAACTGACATTTGTGAGTTCTTCGAATCAAAGCCAAAAGAATTTTACAGTAATGGAATTAGTAAGCTTGTTAATAGATGGAAGGAAGTCATAGATAATCAGGGAAAATACATTGTTGATTGAATCTGTAATTAAATGTAACATTTGGTCACTTGTTTTCTTTATTCAAAATTCGGACAGAACTTATGGGATGACCTGATACATAACTGTTTAATACTCTTTTTGTTGATTCTAACAAAAAGATTATGTTTCTTAATACTTTGCTTAGCTTTTGGAAGGCATCTTTCATTATTCCAATTCATCTTCGGATTTCAGTGTTGCGTTTTCCGTCCCCTATTAAAGTACTTATCAAATATTTAAATTGTGGCACCGTCTTGATTTTGGTTTCTCAACTTTTTTATTCGCATGTTAGGCTGTTTCTTTTGCTGACAAATAAACATTTTGTCTTCTTAAAATTGATGCTTAGTCCTTTCTTCTCGCTTTCCTTTACTACCTTCTATAGATCTTCTTGCAGTTTCCTTACTTCGTCTGCTATCAACACTGTCTCATTAGCATATATAGTGTTGTTGAGATTGTGGTTGCCAGTAATGAATCCTGGTAGGACTCGCAATTCCCTCAATATTTCTTCACTGTAACGGTTGCAGTGAATGCTGGACAATCTCCTCAAAGATGAAGAAAAGACTTAAATCAACAGAAATGTGGCTCTACAGAAAGATGTTGACGATACAAAAGAGAGAACATGTGAGCAACAACGAGGTTTTGGAGAAAATGGAAACAAAAAGTAAACTTATACTTAACATCAAGAAGAGGCAATTGAAATTTCTGGGGCAATGAAGAAAGATGGCTTAGAGAACCTGATCCTCACAGGATAGAGGAACACAGCGAATAGCATCTTTCCGAAATAAATAAACTCACCTCTCTCTTCAAACACTTCGTGATTCACTTTATGAAACACTTTTACATAATCTGTAAAATATACTTTTGTATTTGTATTGCTTTTTCTTATATTATTCTGAACATAAATAGCATATTCCTCCGTCCTGGGTATGATGATAAACTACATCCGCATCCTTGGGTAAGACGATAAACGACATCCAACAGCAAGGCCTCTCATCAGGAGGTTTTTAGGAGCATGGAACCACATTTTAATTGCTGGTGTTCCCAGGTCCATCCTGAGATGGGGTGGTAGCACCTATGGGCAAATAGTTAACACCCAAACTTGTGTAAAAATAGGTTTTAATACCAGAAATACTTTGTAATTAAAAAAATTATTACCAGCAATAATTTTTGAAGCAAACATTATTACCAGCAATACTTTAAAAAAATACCAGCAATACAAACAGCTATACATTCTTTGAAAAAAATATGACCAGCTATAGATTTCTTCAAGGAAAAATATTCCCAAATAGGTTTTTGAAGAAAAACATATTACCAGCAATAAAAATTTTGTCGGCATTAAAGAAGCCATTGAGGTTGATATGCCGTAAAACAAAACAAAACAAATATATTACTTGTTCCGGTGTCTTTAACGAAACTATATTTTTTTTTGTCTTATTTCCGGTTTAATTCTTCTACGCTCTTAATTCCTCAGAATTTGGTTGATAAGTTTTGTTATGTGGCTCATTGGGATGATTAGGGGCTCACATTCGTTTGCACCTGGCTTCTTAGGCAGCGCTATGAAAATGAATCTACTTAGGTTTTCTCGTATATTGTCACAGTTTAATAAACAATGACAAAAGCTCAGGCACCTTTCATTTTTCAAATACCCTTACCAAAGACGTTTACTCAGTTTACCTTCTTTCTTTCTTTTTTGGCGGGTTGGGGGATACGTTCTTTTTTTATTTTAGGGAACTTGGCAAAAATATTTGTACAATGTCATCGAAAATATATGTCCACTTTATTCATTGTCTCGCGGATATAAACAATGCAAAACTAAAATAAATATCTTAAATTGTTAATATTAAACTAAATATCTACTGGGTGTATACTCTGGGCTGTTACAACGGGTTGTTAAGTGGCTTTGGGTCTCAGAAGCAGAGTATTTTCACTAACAAAGTTCAGATTGTGGTAAATCGTGGCTTTTTAATATCTCCATAAGAAAAAAATCCTAAAAGGGTGCGCTCCGATTAACGAGCAGATATTATTATACTATGTAAAAGTGTGTATACATTTTGAGACACATATATATATATATATATATATATATATATATATATATATATATATATATATATATATATATATATATATATGTGTGTGTGTGTGTGTTTTGAATAATATATTGTCTCTACTTATTTTTATTCTGATCCTTTCCAATTGTCTAATCAGTTTCTTGATGTTGAGATAAAATTCATCAAGGAAGGCGCCGTATTTTTTTTTAATCCAAGTACTTTCGACCTTTTCTGTGTGTAACTGGATTGTACTGCTAACAGCGTAATACTAAATATAATTTACAATTACTTTGTTTTATGATTGAGAAATGAAGAGTTTAGTTAATTTAAAATATTAAGACTAGTTTGTGTTGCTATATTTTTGCTGCTTTTCATTAATGCCGTAAGTAATGCAGTATAAAGAAACAATTTCTACTTAGTTTAATGACCAAATAAAGAATCAAGTGAAAGAGTTATACATTTTAATGCCACGTTCTTTCAGGGTGTAGGCAATCAAGATTTTCTTCTTTTCTTTATTATTTGTGAATTGCTATGGCATAGGAAAGAGATCGACGTGCTTTTCCGCTATCTTCTGATCGGTTTTGAATTCAAAGTTTTTCTTCTATTAGACTCGTTGCTAACCAAGTTTATAGAGTTCTGTTTAGTATTTAGCTAATAGTTGTAAATGTGGGATAAGACATATACTAATGCCTTTCCCAAGAGACGAAGCCGGGTTTGAGCTTGGCATGCCAATTCCATTTTTCGAGCCAATAACTATTACGCTACTTGCATAGCCACGATAAACAGCAGAAAAATAGCTGGTTGTCATGGATAAAAAATATTTCAAAAACATATTTCGAAATATTCTCAAATCTATCTATCTATCTATCTATCTATCTATCTATCTATCGCAGTCTTTTCATTATCTATCTATCTATCTATCTATCTATCTATCACAGTCTTTTCATTATCTATCTATCTATCTATCTATCGCAGTCTTTTCATTATCTATCTATCTATCTATCTATCTATCTATCTATCTATCAGTCTTTTCATTATCTATCTATCTATCTATCTATCTATCTATCTATCTATCTATCTATCTATCTATCTATCACAGTCTTTTCATTATCTATCTATCTATCTATCTATCTATCTATCTATCTATCTATGTCTTCACCTATAAATCTGTGGTTTCCCGCTACCTTCTGCTCGATTTTGAATTCAGAATTTTTCTTCTATTAGACTGTTTGCCAACCAAGTTATAGCGCTCAGTTTAGTATTTAGCTAATAGTTGTAAACGTGGGAGTAGACATAGAGAATGTCTTTCCCAAGTGACGAAGCCGGAATTTGAACTTGGCCTGCCAATTCCATTTTTCGAGCCAATAACTATTACGCTACTTGCACATCCATGACAACCAGCTACCAAATAGAAAACTCTTCATAAAAGAAAGAAGATTTTATTGCACCAAGTTTTCCAGATTAAAGCTTACGGCCATATCACGTTGAAACTTCACTTTTCATAGGATCACTGAAGTTAAGCAACGTCGATCCTGATCAGTACCTAGTTGTGTGACCATTTGGGAATACCAGGTGCTGTAAGTTTGAATGTGCGGATGGTTTAATGGATAATGACTCAGAATTGCTAATCGTTAAGCCGATGTTCGTTACATTCACTTGCGCGCAAAAACCCTTGTGAAAAGTCTGAATCCACCTTTTCTCTCTCCATCTATGGTTAATTAGTAAGACTTATATCCCTAAACAATTATTACCTCCCCCAACCCTCCAAAAACATTCATAAAATGTAAAAATATTTTCTGGTTTAAATAACCTGCAAAGAGTTGATAATCCGTAAAAAAAAAAACGAATCAATCAATCAGAGAGCTGAATTCCAACTCTAGCTGGTTTCGTTATATTCACTTACGCATATACCAATTTGGGAACGATGTGAAAGCACGCGCAAGCTAACGATGGTTTCCCCTGCCCAGCAAGCGGGAGGGAAGGTTCGAATCCTGCCGGAGCGCCCATATTTTTTAAGGTTTCTCGAATATTCAGGCCGGTAGAGAAAATAAATAAATACACGGTTATAAGAAATAAACGGGGCGTCTACTCAACTATGGCTATCCACTAAAAAATAACATTTAAGTAATAATATCTTTCGGATTAATAAATAAAAATCCATAGCTTCTTTAGAAAGTCCTTTGTTTACGTCAGGATACAAATGATTTGTATCCCTAAATAATTGTTATCTAAAAATAAAAACTGCCTTGAAATAACCTGCAAAGCCGTAGAAAACGAATCAATCAATAAAATCTCGATCTGTTTCCGTATTTAAATTGTTTTATAAAACGTCCATGTGGGATTAGCTTTTGGGGAATGGGATATAAATATAATGACATAAATATAATTCCTAGTATCGCAAAATAACGAACTTTAAACTGGAAAGCTATATGACTATAGACGTAACACCTCTCCAAACAAGCGGATTCCGTGACTAAATTGGTTTATACGCCGTCCATGTGAGATTAGATTCTGAGAGATGCATCGAAAATTTAGTATTGGAAACTGCTTAGAACTTTGTTGGAAGTAAGACAGCAATGACGTGAAGGAATTGGTTCGAAAAAAGGTGATATTCTTTGATTCACTGGTGAGTGTATCTCCTCATCTTATGCAGATTTCCTTTTAGATTCCGTTCTCTAACGCCCACATGTAAACTTTGCAAAAGTCAAACGATGCAAACTGAGAGAGAACAAGAGAAAAATGCTGCTGTTGTCCCTCCCCACCCTACCCTTTTTTTTTTTAAATATCAACATCCAAAGGGGACTGCGGACATTCAAGGTAGGTGTCATGAGAATATGGAAGTGTACGGAGCGTAGCATTTAAAGGGGAATAGAGAGAAGAAAAAGAATGAAGAAAGAGAAATAAGTAAAAGAAATAAAGGAAGAAAAGAGAGAAGGCGTTAACTGGGTTTGAATAAAAAAGAAGCCATGTAAAAAAGAGGAAGAAAGTGTAGAAGGGATACAAAAGAAGAAGAAGAGGAAAAGCAAAAAGTAAAAAAAGAAGAAAGCAAAGAAAAAAGAAGATAAATCAAGGACAGAAGAAGAAGAAGAAGAAGAAGAAGAAGAAGAAGAAGAAGAAGAAGGAGAAAACAGAAAAGAAGAAGAAGAAGAAGGGAGAAAACAGAAAAGAAGAAGAAGAAGAAGGGAGAAAACAGAAAAGAAGAAGAAGAAGAAGGGAGAAAACAGAAAAGAAGAAGAAGAAGAAGGGAAGAAGGAGAAAAAGAAAAGAAGAAGAAGGAGAAAACAGAAAAGAAGAAGAAGAAGGAGAAAACAGAAAAGAAGAAGAAGAAGAAGGAGAAAACAGAAAAAAGAAGAAGAAGAAGAAGGAGAAAAACAGAAAAGAAGAAGAAGAAGAAGGAGAAAACAGAAAAAAGAAGAAGAAGAAGAAGGGAGAAAACAGAAAAAAAAGAAGAAGAAGAAGAAGAAGAAGAAGAAGAAGAAGAAGGGAGAAAACAGAAAAGAAGAAGAAGAAGAAGAAGGGAGAAAACAGAAAAGAAGAAGAAGAAGAAGGGAGAAAACAGAAAAGAAGAAGAAGAAGAAGAAGAAGAAGAAGGGAGAAAACAGAAAAGAAGAAGAAGAAGAAGAAGAAGAAGAAGAAGGGAGAAAACAGAAAAGAAGAAGAAGGGAGAAAACAGAAAAGAAGAAGAAGGGAGAAAACAGAAAAGAAGAAGAAGGGAGAGAACAGAAAAGAAGAAGAAGGGAGAAAACAGAAAAGAAGAAAAATGAAAGAAAGAAAACAAAGCAGGAGAAGTAAAGAAAGAAGTGAATAATGATAATACTGACTGATAATGGGGTGATGGAAGAAAAAAAAACGAAAAAGAAGTGTAGAAAAGAATAAAAAAGAAAGTAAGAAGTCGAAGATTATGTGGGAGTAAAAATAACGAATCAGGCGAAAAAGAACGTTTTTGAGTTCTTGCTGCAGACGAGAACCAAAATGAACCTTCGACAGCAGCAATAGCGAAACAAAGCAAAAGAAAGGAAAAAAATGGCGAGTGAAAAAAAAAATGGTGATGTTTCCTATTTGGGAAGGTTTTCTGGTGCAGAAAAAACAAGAGCCTGGATGGAAGTGTAAAGTGTCACTTAGTACGTAGCGTAACGGGTTCAGGAAAGGAGGGACGGGAAAAATACGAACGGGAAACAGAGGCGGGGAAAAGTGGTCCATTATTGGAAACTCCTGATAAAATAAAGATTTGGAAACAAATGTGTGCAAAGCGAGAGATCACTAAAGATGGACGGTAGAGAGTGAAGGGTTGGGTGAGAGAAGGAATGTGAGTGAGGAGGATGTGTTAAGCCCCTAAAGAACAGCCTTTAAACGACAAAAAAGTGGGGAAGGAGGATTTATCGGAGGTGTAAGATGAAGGGATGCTACAAACGTTCTTAAAGTGACTAAACAGAGTCCCGCAATATGTGGTTATACTTCAATGTTCGTCTCTGGTTTTCATTTTTTTTTTGTTTTTTTTTTTTTTTTGCAAATTATGTGTCCCCTACCGGAATCAGATTTTTAAGTTCTCTTAACCTTAGAAAAAAATATAGCTTTCAAAATTTGCTTAGATCTATCTATTACGTTGGTGCAAAAATAATGACGCAATAATGTCGTTTTTGACGTATTTTAACGTCAAAAACGACATTATTGCGTCATTATTTTTGCACCAACCTAATATCTATCTATCTATCTATCTATCTATCTATGAATTGGGATCAAATACAGATCAAATATGGGTCGGAAACTGACACAGTCATAAGAAGAGTAAACAAATAGAAAACATTTATAAATCTAATATGTTTCACTTTTATTAAAGCTTCATCAGAGAATCAGCTATGGAGAAAAAGAGAAAAAAAGAAATGTATGGTATTATTTGTTTAACAAGTCAAATGCACGTGAAACCTGATTAACCAATGAAAATCAAATAACACAGAATTAAAAAATATAATTTCTTTTTTCTCAATATTTCATCCTCTGATGAAGCTTTAATGAAAGCGAAACAGGTTAGATTGATAAACTTTTCATATTTGTTATCTATCTATCTATCTATCTATCTATCTATCTATCTATCTATCTATCTATCTCAGTCTGTTCACATCTCAGTTTGTTGATACAAATGTGTATTCGTATCTATCTATCGAGCTACATAACTATACAAAGCTTTGGATACAGAAAATTTCCTAAACAAGAAATTGCCTTGTGTTAATTGTAACAAGGGTAAAACGACATTCAAAATCCTGATTTTCGTTTGAATTTGAATCTGTATGTGGATAGATATCTAAGAGTATACAGTGACCAAGCAATTATCTATCTATCTATCTATCTATCTATCTATCTATCTATCTATCTATCTATCTATCTGCTTTTACAGGGCAAAGCTATAATTTAGTCTGATTATAGTTCAGCGGTCTTGCATTATTCTTATTTTCAGTGCATAGCGAAGAGAAAGATATCGAAGGTGAAGTCTTTTACAAATTATGACCTCTACTGGAACTTAACCTTAAAAAAACATATTTTGAAATATTCTATCATCTATCTATCTATCTATCTATCTATCTATCTATCTATCTATCTATCTATCTATGTCTTCATCTATAAATCTATATCTAGCTATTTTCTTGAATTTTTTCAATTTTTAAATGACAATATTTGCTTGCGATATATTTGTTTCAACTGTTCTGCACACACACACGCACACACACATATACACACATATATTATTATAAATTACAATTAAAACATTTTACATCTCTACACACAAAAAAAAATCATGTTTCAGTACTAAGATTGTACTTCCTCAGGCGGTCTTAACTTAAGCACCCAGATTTCAGAGTTTCGTAGGTGAACACGTCCATACACTTGTCAGGGGGTATCAGCAATTGTATATAAAACAAAAACCACATCATTTGTAGATTTCCAACAGAAACAACAACTAAAATAGATAGCACATGTAAATGAAAGGAAAATTATAACGTAACCAAGATGTTGACATTCCACATTACATCCAACAAAAAGTTAGCAAGGAAATCTCAGTGGAAAGAACAAAAACAGTACATTTGAGAAACGTATATTCTCAAAAATTTCTTTTAATAGAAAGATTTTATAAATTTCAACCGAAAGTAACATAGCTACGCGTTTAATGAATACCTAATATTTCCTTATAAGGAAACAGCTAATATTAACATTAACATTAGAGGTGAAAACAGTTACTACATTTTGATCCCAGTCTGCTGATCAGAGTTGGAAGAAAACAGTAACTCGAATAGCAATGGCGGCTTGTTCAGTGAATGCCGAATGTTTCATGATAAGGAAAAATGGTAATATTATCGTTATCATAATTTATGGAGCGTTATTAACTTGAGTACTATTCTATCTATCTATCTCTCTATCTATCTATCTATCTATCTATCTATCTATCTATCTATCTATCTATCTATCTATCTATCACAAAATCTATCTATTTATCTATCTATCACAAAATCTATCTATCACAAAATCTATTTATCTATCTATCACAAAATCTATCTATCTATCACAAAATCTATCTATCTATCTATCTATCTATCTATCTATCTATCTATCTATCTATCACAAAATCTATCTATCACAAAATCTATCTATTTATCTATCACAAAATCTATCACAAAATCTATTTATCTATCTATCACAAAATCTATCTATTTATCTATCATAAAATCTATCACAAAATCTATTTATCTATCTATCACAAAATCTATCTATCTATCTATCTATCTATCACAAAATCTATCTATCACAAAATCTATCTATCTATCTATCTATCTATCTATCTATCTATCTAAATCTATCTATCTATCTCAAAATCTACGTACCTCTCTCTCTCACCCTCTCTCTTAATGTATCGGTATATTTATATCTCCTCCTTTCTTTCTACCTATCTAGCTCTCACTCCCTCCTCCTTTCCCCCTCTACCTCGTTCTTTTTTTTTTCTCTCTCTCTCTCTCTGTACCTATCCCTGACTCTCTATTTATCTGATCCTTCCCCCTTTTCTCTCCTCTCTCTTCCTCTATCTGCATATTTATATTTCCTCCTCTTTCTCTCTGCCTTTCCATCTTTCCCCTCTCCTTCATTCTCTCTCTCTCTCCCCATTCTCTTTCTTCCTCTCCCTCATTCTCTCTCTCTCTATATATATACGTCTATCTGAAAATCTATTTTATCACTGTCCCTCTCTCCTTCTCTCTCTTCATCTATTTGCTTATTTATATCTCCTCCTCTCTCTCTGTCTATCATTCTCTCCTCAACCTCTCTCTCTATCTATCTATCTATCTATCGTATTTAGTATCTATTTATCTTTAGTATTTGTTTCGAGCCACTCTCGATGTCTGGTAACAGTTTTGTACGTCAGAATCTTCGAAGGCATTAAGGTCAACTTCGGGTATAATTGTAACATGTTCCCGAAGTTTTCTCTCTACTTCACCAGATTTCAGTCTCAATCCTCCACCTGTTACGCATTAGAATAATGGCCGATCTGCTACTATCGAACACAAACAGAGAGTTTTTTTTTTCACTTGCACCGAACGCACCCGGCATTGTTATTCATTTGACATCAGACTTGTGTCACGTGGGAACCGTAGAGCGGAGTTTGGGACTTTATCCTTTACTCGTTTCATTGATTTTTGTTTGTATTAGCTTTGCGCTAAATCAGCTGAATAGATGCCATTGGTGAGTGTGCGGTACATAGTGGGTCTGAGTAGATGTGGGTATAAAGAGAAACGGCTGATACCAATGTCTGTCATCTCAATATTATCAAATGAACACCCCTCTCTCACTATTTGGCTCATTGTTCAATCACTCAACTCATTAATATTATGTTGTTTTGTAGCTGGTATTTTCAAGGATGCACATTTTAAAATTTCATTTATTCTAAATTTTTATTAATGTTAAATTTTTTTATTAATGTTAAATTTTATTAATGTTAAATCTTATTAATGCTAAATTTTATTAATGTTAAATTTTATTAATGCTAAATTTTATTAATGTTAAATTTTATTAATGTTAAATTTTATTAATGTTAAATCTTATTAATGCTAAATTTTATTAATGCTAAATTTTATTAATGCTAAATCTTATTAATGCTAAATTTTATTAATGTTAAATTTTATTAATGTTAAATTTTATTAATGTTAAATTTTATTAATGCTAAATTTTATTAATGTTAAATTTTATTAATGCTAAGTTTTATTAATGTTAATTTTTTTATTAATGTTAAATTTTATTAATGTTAAATTTTATTGATGCTAAATTTTATTAGTGTTAAATTTTATTAATGTTAAATTTTATTAATGTTAAATTTTTTATTAATGTTAAATTTTATAAATGTTAATTTTTTTTTATTAATGTTAAATTTTATTAATGCTAAATTTTATTAATGTTGAATTTTATTAATGCTAAATATTATTAATGTTAAATTTTATTAATGTTCAATTTTATTAGTAAAATAATCGCCTACATAAGTCGCTAATTTGAAATTAATTTTTACCACAAATGAGTTTTTTCCCCCATCTTTTTATTCAGTTATTTAAGTGCTATACGTGACCCACGCTTGGGCAATAGATACATGACTGACGAGGCAGATTGTTTTCCCGCAGTAGGTTGCCATTTTTTTCTGCAGTAGACTGGTTGCCAACCAAGACTAAAAAATCAAGTCTGTCCTACTATTCAACCCATAGCTTGGGGGGGAAGAGATGGATCTAACGAACTGGAATTCTAACTCGGCTTTCCTACTTCATTCGTTTTTTATTATTATTAGCCATATAACTGTCCGAGGAACAAAGAAAAGTGAATTGTTATGAAAGTTCTCTTCCCTGGCATTTCTGTATAAATGTTTTCAATAAGATATCTATTTTCTGATGTTCTTTCTGTCATTATGCAGAGTCCATTTGAAATCCTTACTCTGGACATTGCTACACAAAGCCTACCATTTACATTATTCGCACTATCGTCCTTATCTTTGTCGCCATATTTATTACAACGTTTCGACCGGTTAAGGCAGTGGAGAACTTGGAGAGGGGAATTAACAGGAGATAACTGATAACTGACATCCATTAAACATGGCACATGGAACTAGAACAGTCTAACACAGTGAGCGAAATAAAGGGTTCAGTTCGACATTCCAATCACCTGAAGAAGGCCACAATAAA